TTGAATGCGCATTGGTGCGTTTGAAGCTGTTGCTGTTGTTGCTCTACTAATTGTGATTGCTGATCTTCAACAAAAGGCAATGGGGATATTGCTTTCTGATGTTGCGGCTGCTGTGATTCAAGTGGTGGTGATAACGGTGGTTGTTGTTGTTGTTGTTGTTGTAGCAGCATACAAGTTCCCCAAAGAGTGGTGGTAGTAGTGCGTGTTGGAATATGCCAGCTGCTCGCAATGGTGCTACTCTTTTTCACTGCTGACTATTGCGAAGCATTGCACTTCAACATTTTGGTGTAACATCTCATCATCTGTGGACTAGTACCGCGGAGCAACAAACCAAGTGTACAAAATCAGTATACCAACAACTTAATGTAATTTCTTATATTGCTCCTGGCAGGGTCGCCAATTGTAGCGTATTTAATTATAGAATTGTATTTTTTAAAAAATTGTATTTTTATATAAACTTAATTTTAATTTAACGTATTTTAAATTTCAAAGAAGAAAAAATTCTGAAGTAATCAAAAATTTTCTTTTTGATTTACATAAATTGAAAAAGAACTTAATTCAATAATTTCAAAAATAACAAAGTACAAAAATGAACAAAGTACAATAGTAAATAGTATTAACACTACACTTATGTTCCAGAAAATAAATCTTCCGTTACAAAACCGCTTGCAACGTTTTAATTTCTTCGCCAGAAATAAATGAAAGTGTACTACGCGAATTGCCGTCGGATATTAGCAGTGTCTGTAAGTAGTTTCACGTTTTATTTTAAGCTCTTGTTCTTAAATTAGTTCAAGTATTAATTTTTCCATTTTATATAAATATTTTCAGCGTATTCCGAATCCCCTCTGTCTCGAAAAAGAAAGCGAAATCCTGAATTGTGGAAACATAACATGCGAAAGTCTTCATGACCGTGGCTTGCCATTTGTGAACAGTAAAGGCGTGGAAAGGTCTAGAAGAGCTCTTGGTTCGGTTTGCGCTCAATCATGTTTTTATACATGTACAACCAAAATATCTCAAGAAGAAAGAATTCGTTGCCATTTCTGGAGCTTAAAAGCTTCAATTCAGCTTCAGTAAAAAAACAAAGCACGTAGTATTATAAAAACAATAGTACCTTAATATAGAAAGACCCTATCTAAATTTTGTGTTTATTTGCAAAGTGATTGAAAACTTACCAAAACTTTCAATTCTTTAGCTGCGAATTTCTTTAAAATGCTGTTTTCAATTGAGAACTATAATTAATTAAACTTAATGCAATTCAAAAACAACTACTACAGCATTTAATTAATTACAGTTCTCAATTGAAAACAGCATTTTAAAGAAATTCGCAACCAAAGAATTGAAAGTTTTGGTAAGTTTTCAATCACTTTGCAAATAAACAAAAAGTTTAGATAGCGTCTTTCTATATTAAGGTACTATTGTTTTTATAATACTACGTTCTGTTTTTTTTCTGAAGCTGAATTAAGTTCTTTTATTTACTAGATTTGCAAGAACTAGTTTCTATGTTTACTTTGATGTATTTTGGTGTTTAAATAAAACTGAAATTAAAATTCATATGATTTGTGTTATATTTTGCTAGTTATTTGTCGCATGTGTATGAATTGAACGCACCCATGTTGCCAACTGTAACATACGACAAAGTGTGAGTAAATAAATTAGCAATAAATGTTGAAGATTTTGTGTCATTTTTTTTTTATAATAAATTCCTATATTTCCTTAAGCTAGAAATAACATATAAAATTTTCAAAGAAATCTACCGTGACGTTTTCAAGAAAACAGACTTTTAAACTTCAATCGCGATTTCCCAAAAGTCGTCAAATGTAACATACGACAATCACCCAGCAAACATTGAAGTTAGTTATCGATTAGAGAATGATTGGAGAACTAGCCACATTCTCCAATCTCAAAGGTTAGAGAACGACTCGAAAAACTATCGAGAAGCATATCGATCTCAACAGAAATGGGACATAGTTCTCGAGTCGAGAAGATATTAATTCTCTAATCGAATTCTAATGTTGATCTCTAACGGGATTCGAATGGGAATTTCAAACTGCTGTTTTGCTTTATTATATAAAACGTTTTGTTTGCAAAATTTGTATTAAATGCATTCGCAATAAAATAATAATGAATTATTTGAGCTTAAAAATAATTTCTGATTCATTAATTTGGAATATTGCTTATTTATATTTATTTGAATTTGCGTTGTTTCTCTAATCGTTCTCGAATCGAATTCTAATGTAGTTCTCTAACTTCGTCATCGACTCGAGAACGATTAGAGAATTACCCTAGTTAAGTATCTAATGCAGAAATCCACATTTCTCTAACGTTAGAGACTGTGTTTGCTGGGCCTTTGTTCAAGCGACGATATGTCAAATATCGTCGTCTGGCGCGCAATTCCTCGTAAACGTCAAATGCAATACCACGTATGAGATGGCACTGAAAAAAATTAATTTCGGTTTTAATTGTTGCCTAAACCATAAATTTAATGGTGAATATATTATATTATAATAGAAACTCATATTTGGCAAGTTCAGTTCGTGATCTATTCAAAGGTTTTGAAGAAAATACCTTTTTTTGTTATTTTGGAAAACTTTCTGACTAAATTATACGTGGTATTGCATTTGACGTATACGAGATATGCTTATACATTGATGATGACATATACGTATGTATATTATCTTACCTTCCTTATCGGGTAAAGGATTTTTTTCATTAGTTTCAGTATGCTTCAAGTTTGATGGATTAAAAGCAGCTATTCCAGAAATTAAAGACTGCTGGGTCTTCTCGGCAGCCACATCTAAAACACAACCAATATGTCACAACTAAAACACAGGATTTTTTATAAAAAAAATACCTTCCGCAGTGGGGAGTACAATTTTTTCATGTGTGCTAGCGTTCTTTAGTTGTTCAGTGTTAAAGCCCTCAAGTTGACTTTTCAAGTTTTCAGCTACTTTAGGAAGGTCTTTAAGTGCGGGAGATGCCATTTTGGATCTGAAAAGAAATCGAGAACTTATTGTTTTATTTTCCACTAAATTAATTAAATGTGGTGTTCAAATATCTTTGAAAATGTGTGTTTGGTGGGTATAAGATACGCACAAACATATACCCAGCCAGCAAGAAAACGTACATTTTACGAACATTATGTTTTACGAGAGATTCTCGATCGGCGAAAAGTTAGGGAAAGGTTCGTAAACGATAAAACAAAAAAAGTTAAAGAAAGAGGCTTTTAGTAATTTGTCAGCACAAAAAAAAATGTTCATTCTGTTGGAAATTTTTCTTGAACCACAATATTTTATAATATATAATATTCGCATACGAATGCTTCTTCGATACGTTTAGGACTGTTCGTAGGCGCTTCTTCGAGAAAATATCGAGTTACGAGCTCGTTTACGATGATTTTGCTGGCTGGGTAATTAACCATTGAAAATCCATACAAACAAAATGTACAAATATACAAAATATATACAATCCACTACTTGTCAAATGCAGTGTTTAAAAAACTTAAGTAGAAGTAGCAAAAGCCATACAATTTTTGCTTCTCACTACTTCGACTTATTGTCTTATTGCTTGTGCTTAGTAGAGATGGGCGCGGGATAGCGGGACCCGCAGGACCCACGGTACTGATTTAAAATTGGCCGGGATGGGCGGTATCGGGAAGATTTGTAAAAATATGGCGGACGGGACCGAAATCCTTTCCCGACACTCCCGATAAAACCGCAACCCCCGCAAATTCACAAAATCTTCCTTAAAAACGATGTTTGAAAAATGCACTTTTAATGTTTTATTGAGGCGAAAAAGAAAAAAAATTATAGGAAGATGCCAGATCTTTCATTATTATTTAAAATTAATATGAAAGACATGAACATTTTTGTGAACCTTCGATCGGTTTGTAAACCTCGCCACACACGTTGAAATCTCAACCGCTCGTTTCAATTTGTTGTCCGTGTGTAGCCTGCTTTAGAGATAGATATTGGGACCCACGGGACCCGCGGTACAATTCTGAGAAATGTCGGGATGGGCGGTTTCGGGACTTAAAAATCGAATTTCGGGATGGGCGGGGTCGGGATTAAATATTTAGTCCCGTGCCCATCTCTAGTGCTTACGCTTCTCACACAAAACAACAGTCGCAGTCAAAGCACAAGCAGAATCGATTGCCGACAAAATGCGCAGTGCTTTTGGCAGTCGTTGGTTTGAAAATTTTCATTTTGATTTTGGTCAGCGGCACAAGTCGAAGTAAAAGCAATAGCTTTGCTTTTGCAAGTTGTCACCAGTCGCAGTCGAAAAATTAGAAATTCCTAGCTGTCCCAAGTGGGCAGTCAATTGATATTCTATCAGCCTAACCTAATATAAACGCACACCGTTTATATAGGCCCGTCGTATAATTTGTTTTTCTGCGTCACCCGAAATTGGATTACGTGCGGTTGCATTTGATTTCACTGAACGAAACGTCAAATCAAAATCCCACGGAAAACAAAAATTGGAAATTGAGTTAGCTTTTAGCATTACGTCAAAATGATGTGTTTGTTGTAATTCATACCAATGATAGTAGCATGGGCGTAGCCAGGTAGGGGCAGGGGGGTGCTCGAGCCCCCCTAACTTTCAAAATTTCCTTATATATATATAAAATAGTACCCTGAAATGCTAGCTTAATAGGGTCGAGCCTTAAAAATATGTTTTTTATTGCATTCCGAACGGCCTAACTTATCCCAATAGGCAACGGTTCGGTTTTCGTGCGATGCAGCGAAATGCTGCCACACTCGCACATGTATTATGATCAAATTTGCTTTTTTCTTTATGATGCCTTCGCGCTCAATTTGGCAATTCTTCGCCTCGCTGTCTATTGATTTGCATTAAAGTTTAATACCTTAAGCGCTTCTGTAATAGTGGCTGCATCGCTACTTGCTTCTAAGTTCACAAGATGTTGTACCGTAATATTTTTTAAAAGACTTCCTTTGTCCTTGGGAACATTTCAGGCTATATTTTTTCTAAGTCTTAACACTTTTAAGTAGCAAATTCCAAAATTTTTTGCCACTTTTCGTGCGGTTCCGCCTTTCCGCAGTAAATCTATTATTTACATTTACGGTTCCTGATTAACTATGTATTTACTGGAGATCACTTCTTCAATAAATTACAATATAGAAAAAAGTCATCTGACTTCCAACTAAGTAAAAGATAACTGTCAAATGCAAAACTGAGAGTGAGTGCAAAACTGTAACATCTGCCTTAATTTACATTTTTGTCTGCTGGTTTTTTTATTGTTGTTGTATTGACTTCAAATCATTATGAGAGAGGGAGTAGGGATGTACCAACAAGAATATACAGCAAAAGTATGAAGGTCGTTAGAACTTGGAAATATAGCGGTGGCTGAAACAAAAAGTGTTAAACCATGTTACAGTTTTGCTCGTCACTGTATATGTAAATTCAAAATTTCAAAGCGGGCTTTCTCGAGTTTTAGTTTTTAGAGTTATGACCTTATTGAAGTAAATGATATGTACATAAATAAAAAGTCAAATAAAAAATTTTAAAATCCATTTGAATTCACCCACGTTAAATATTGAAAATTTAAATAAATAACTTTTTAAATTTAAAACTCAATCGGATTCCTCCACGTCAATATTGAAATTTGTGTTCATCAAAATTTTCCATTTCATTATGAAATGATTACAAATGCCTTTTGATAGCATATTCCCTGTTTTTTAAGGTCTAACCACACCAAAGGCGTTGTAAGTATGCCACCAAAAGCATTTTCAACAAGGCATCTTTGTATTCGTTGCCACGGTTGCCACTGTTGGTTGTTTCCAACCAAACTCGGTTGTTTTTCTTTTTTTTTCTAATTTGGTTGTTTGGTAGTTTTTTCTCTGGTTTCGTTGTTTTTTTTTTAATTAGAAATTTGCACATTTTTTCTTTACGAAGATTACATGGTGCTACAAAAAGTCATGAAATACACGCGAAACAAAACCTAGTGTAGGTTGTAGATATGGTCTAGTACAACATGAAAATAGGTCCCGTATAGTTCCTGAACCCTCAATTTTTGTATACCAAAAAACCGTTATTTTCGTACTTGATACACTTATCTATTAATAGCTTAACTATTTTCCATCCGATTTTAAAAATCGAACAAGTTTTGAGAAGAGGGTTTATAGACCTTTAAAACGATGTATAACAATATATTGTTTGCTAGACTTAGCTTGTTGGGAGTTTTCATCGGCTAAATTTTAATGAGCACCTATTTTTCTTTATTTTTTGAACTTTGATCATCGCTAATTTCAAAAATTTCTATGAAAGTTGCCAAATATGTGGTATTTATCTAAAATAACATTTATTTTCGAATAAATTGATACCTCATCCAATGCCAAAATTGTCGAAGTTAAGCAATTTAAGCAAAAATGCGGCCTTACATATATGTGTGTATGTACCGGACGTGCAGATTTTTTTGAACAGTGTGGCTAAGGGGTTCATCAATATTTACTCAAAATTGATATATGTTCATATGTATACAATGGCTCTTAAGCAAAAAATTCATTTTTCAAAAAATTTTAGGAAAATGGGCGTGGCACCGCCCACTTATATCATATATGCGTATCTCAAAAACTACTTAACCGGTCTCGACCAAATTTGATATACACACTGAGCTTGGCCTCCCTAAGCACAGTGTGCTTTTGAAATCGGACAAAAACCATGTGGTCCACCCACATAACGGTAATTTCAAAAAACTCAAGGCTGGCTATATTTCAGGGGGAGTAATGTTTGTCCGATTTACTGTACCACTGCTATAAAAAAAAAATAAATAAAAAGTATTAAATTAAATTACAAAACCATCTTAAAATACCTAATTTTTTATTTCCTTAAGGTCATAAATAACTAATTTAAGTAGTTACAAACGTAAACAAAAAATTTCGTAGATGCTAATACGTATAATTTACGTGTACATGTTTTTGTTTAAGTCTTTCAACAAAGAAAGAGACGCTGACCGGTTTCGACTACACGCCATTTGTCAAATTTTTTGACATTTGCAAAATTCCACTGCCTGATTTGGTCACCAAAGATTTTCTACACTTTGTCGAATTTCTGAGGAGTAAAAACTTCAGCGTCACAATCTCCCATTTTTTTCATATTTTATGTGTTGTACTTTTAAATAACATGTTCCTGCACACAAATTTATAATATCTTCAGTGCTATCCTCTGGACTATTTCTAATAAAATCCTGGAGTACGGGAACAGGCCAAACATATGGATTAAGTAAGCAAGTGTTGCCACATATCATATCTTATATGGAGAAAACGTTCATGACTTAGATAAATGGATATGGGCACAACGGGCAAATGTTTACAATGTGAATAAAGACACCAAAAATCTATACAAAAATCTGTATACCTTATCGGAAAGCTAAAAATTTGTACGCTGAACCCGTACAACCATTTTGACCACCGCAAATCTGTACCGTACGGAAAAATCCGTACTTCTGTCAGGGCTGCTCGACAACACTAAACGATAGAGCGTAGGAATACGTGTAAAGTGAGCGTCCACAATTGTGGTATGAAACATAAGTATGGACATCATAAGCAAACAGTGTGCACATGAACGAAAGACACAAGATCACGCGCTAAGGAAAAAAAGAAAAACGTTATTTTCGATCTGTTGAAATTTCGACGCCATCTTTGTTGTAAGAAGTAAACAACGAAGAGAACGAAGAAAACCGCGTAATTGTTCAACGCATGAATAATCATTTTTATTATGCAAATTCTTCTATAAATATGTCGTTGCGTTAAATTATTCTTTACCTTATGTGTACACACGTTCTCACAAGCGAAAATGAAGAAAATTGAAGTAAAAAGCCACCACAAAATTGTAAACAACGAACAAATGTAAACAAACGGCTAATGTCAAAATCTTCCTACTTTTTTCCTAAATGCGATTATAACGAGCTACTCTTATCGCGTGATCTTGTATTTTTGGTTCGTTCAGTGTGTACACTTCTAAAGCATATTTTT